GTTTGTTTGTTTTTTGGTAGGGGGTAATCTTCGGAAATTATGAAAATTCTTTCATCTACGGAAAGTTACATTATGTAGCTTACACCTACATAATACTCGGATGATATAGGCTATAATTTACACCGACAAAGTCGCAGGAAAACAGTTAGTGTTTAAATAATTGTCTCTTAGAAGCTGTTAAAGTTACTCTTTATAAATATTTTAACAACGAGTGTTTTTTGATAAATTGAATCTTGCTTGTATAAAAGCTACATAAATAATATAGTATTTGACGACTTATCGTTTTTTTATAACTCATTTTAAATACTCAGCTAATTATATAATCTATTAACATTTAGTCATTTATTCAATAGATTATCTACGTGTGAGTAAGCGACAATGTTTTGTTTGTTAAAATATATCGTATCCGAATTCAGTTTCGTGACCTACCGTTGAGCAATGGAATGGAGAGTTCGACCATTACGAGACTGATATAAAAGCCAACACATACTCGTCGAATTTATTCAGTTTCCAATCTTCAGAGAAACAACATGTACGCCCAGGTGTGTTTTGGACAAACTCAGTAATACAATATTGTTATGTTAAATAATACGTATTAGTGATATGTACAGATAAATTCAAAAGTGTTTTCGGCATTCGGCAAAAGATATTAGTGTAATAGGAAATTAATAAAGTGAATTATTATTTCCAGTTCATCATTGCTCTGTGTGCCGTGAGCGCAGCCCGCGCTGGTGGTCTCCTGGAAGCTCCCGTGGCGTACAGCAGTCATGCTATTGCCGCCCCTGCCGTGGCCGCGTACTCCGCGCCCGCTGTGGTAGCCAAAACCATCGCGCCCGCCGTCTCTTATTCATCCTTCTCCACCCACACAGCACACAGCTCTCCTATAGCCTACTCCGCCGCTCCAGTAGCCACCTACGCCGCTGCTCCAGTGGCGACTTACGCCGCCGCCCCTGTGGTCGCTAAAACCTATGCCGCCCCCGCTGTGGCAACTTATGCCGCCTCTCCCGTGGTCGCTAAAACCTATGCTGCCCCTGCCGTGGCTACTTACGCCGCTGCGCCCGCCGTCGTGACCAAGACCATCGCGCCAGCGGTGTCTTCCGTCTCTTCTTATTCCTCCACTACCTCTCATGGTTCCCCCATCACCTATGCTAAGACTTACGCCGCCCCGGCTGTGACCGCTTACGCAGCTCCCGCTGTTGCGTCGTACTCCGCTCCTCTGGTTGCCAAATCTTACGCCGCCCCCGCAGTGGCGACTTACGCCGCAGGCGCCCCCGCCTACACTACATACGCCGCAGCCGCCCCCGCCTACACTACATACGCCGCAGCCGCCCCCGCATACACTTCATACGCCGCGGCTGCTCCCGTCCTAAAAACAGGTCTCGCGTACTCCGCAGCGCCCTCTGTCGCTCATGTGTCCTACAGTGGACTTGGCGCCAACTATGGTTGGTAAACTGAATCTAGTCTAAACATGTGATATTAATAAGCTTAAACAATATTTATGTAAACAAATAAAACAGAATTTTATTTTAATTTTACCTATTTATTTTATAAGTAAAAAACCTTGTAGTAATATTTGCAAACTTTCCTTGAAATTGAAATTATTACAAATAGCTCTCTAGTTTCTAAGCATAGCCAGCTTTACGGTGCCGAGTCTGATTCCCATTACAAATAATAACATTTTTCACACTAGCCATTATGTTTCATCGAGGTTGTATGAAAACTAAAACCTAAACTTTCTATGCAATGAAACTTAAACCAAACATTAATCATTATAATTGACTTCATAAAAAGGAAACTAAATGAATCTTTCTGATATCTAATACAAAAAGGTGATACTTTTTGTATACACAGAAAATAAATTGCGACCCAATATCTAATATACGAGTTTAGAATGGTCAGTATGGGAAAGTTTGAAACTATAAGACTTACGAAAATCTGTTCTTAGGAACCTTTTCATCGATTTAACTAAACACAAAAAATTGCATTCTACACAATCATTAATTAAGTAGAAATAATTAAGTGTGATAATTTGTCAGGTGAAATTGTCACAGATGTAGTATCACCGTTGCCGCTATTACACCAAATAAAAAAAGATCGAATAAAATCCGACTCTTACTCGGCCGGCTTTTTTGATTTTATTATTTAAGTAGCTTAATGTTTATAATAAAATGCATAAAACATATTTAATAATTATCACTATTACTTCCGTAACTACACGTTCAGTCAGTAGGTAGGTGCACTATTATCAAACTTAAACAACGTGGCATCGCCATTTCTGAAATCCCTGTTTCAAATAATGTAATTATGAGTCAATATAAAATGAAAAATCTGGTTACTATCCCGAATTTAGACGATTCTGAACAGACCATTGCTTTTTATTCAATTTCCATGAGTTCTTTAGCTAACTTACTCGGCCTGGAATCTGAACATTATATGTTAGACCCGAAATACATGTTTAAAACGTTTTTTCAGTTCGCGATGAAGGCAATTCTATTAAACTACTTTCTAAGCTGAAAAATTCTTGTTTAAATTTGGCTTTGTTTTAATGTTATTCCTTAGCCATTAATATTCTATATTACTACTACTGTTATATATAACACCTATATTAAGCAGGAACATTAGTAGGCTGATGATAGTAACGATATTAAGTTTACTTCTCTTAGCTAAATAAGAAGTTATTTACAGCATTGAAAATGCAATGCCTTGCCATAGCTACAAAAAAAATGTGAAAGGGAACACCCCAAACGACCTGGCTGGCATCCGTAGGGACATGAAGAACCTCGGAACTTAAATGTGACGACACCAGCCAGCGGACTTCATGGTGCTGCATAATAAGGCGCCTATTACACTACCCAATCTATCGGGCCCGATCCATCGGGTACACTGTAAATTGGGTAGTCTAATCGCAGTTAGAGAGTTAGGGTCCCGATATCGGGTGAACGTGGGCGCCCGATCGCCCGATGAGAGTTAGGGCCGATTTATCGGGTAATGTGATCGCTGTTAGGGTGTTAGAGCGCTCAGTCGGTTGTTGCGCAGCGTGCGTGTGAGACGTCAGTGAACGACAACGAAATTTGCGAACAGACAAAAATGTCTTCTCAAAAGGAAAAGAAATAATATTAAGTGTAATTTTATATTATTACTTTGTCTTATATATATATATATATATATATATATATATATATATATATATATATATATATATATATATATCAATATGATATAATGTTTTAGACATTTCTAGATAGCCTTTACATGTGTCTGGTACAATTATAAATTTTATATAAATTACAATAATAAAAACTAATGCTATAATAAACTTTATATTATTGTTGTGCCTGATAGGGTCCATAGTGAGACTAACTTAATTATGTAATATTATTTTCAATTACCTATAGAAACAATAAACTTATTGAGTATTTATACTTTAAGTCATGATATGCATTTCCCGTTGCTAAAAATTTTAAGGTTCCAGCACAGTTAACCACTGTTTTGCGCTATATAAGGTATGACTAAGTTTAATATATGATCAAATTGTGCAGAACTCATTCTGTAGTAGTTCAAACTGCAAAGTTGGTCATTTAGAAGCAAATATTTTTCACCCAACATTTTGTTTTATTATTTACGCCCGCAGTTAAAGTATGGGCTATGCCAATTTTTTGGTACTTTGTGAGCGAAGGAGCCATCCTTTCAACACCACGTTTGCATGCCAACTGATTTAGGGAGGCGATCTAGTGCAGTGTAATCACAACGACACCAACCGCCCTAAATCGCGGCCGATATATCGTGCCCGATAGATTGGGTAGTGTAATAGGCGCCTAAGGAAGTCCGATCCCGAGTAATGGAAAAAGGTGAGAGCAAAGAAGAAGAAAACGCAGCTTGACTGGACCAAGATTTAGTCCAGTATATAGATCAGAAATGCTACCAATTACGGAAAATTTACAGAATTAATTGATTCATCAAAAGGTTACTTATTCAGATCATGTCAGGGTCACCAAAAATAATGAAATGCAGGCTAGCTCATACGATACGATATTTACTGAGCTATCAATTCATGTAGAAAATCATTTTAACAGAATTCTTTTTAATGGCAGACAGAAAAATTTGAGACAAACGTAAGAATGATAACAGAAAAATTCAAATAAACAGATTAGTATTTAGTTATGTTTGTATCGACTATCAAAGATTAAATAAGTAGATTTATGGTGATACCGCATAATTATAAACCTTGGCATTCAAATGATTAAAAAGAAACCACAACCTATTGAATCACAAGAGATTTAATAAATTGCAACAATTAAGTTTTCATAAGAATTCATTTGAAATTCATTGACAAAAAATGTCACAAAAAAAATTTTTTACTGAAAACATTGTGCTTGTTTTTCTTATTGAACCTTCTAAAACTCCCCTTTTAAGGATCTCAATAAAAAGTGATCTGAACGAAATATTTGAAATACTCATTCAATTTCATATTCGATAAAAATAGAAAATTGAGAATTTCGTCTGATCAGTTTTAAAGAAACAAACAGGTTTTTTTTTGAGAAACATATAATATAGGTTATTATATAGCTTAGGATCTTGTACAAGTGTCATTACTACAGTATTTTGAAAACAAAATTGATGGAATGTTATAATCCTAAAGTAAATAAAATGGTAGTATTTTGATGTTGGATAAAAAATTTAAAATGCCTTAATAACTTAATACATACTTCCACTCATTCGTTAAATTTTTTAAACTTATACTTTCTTTTGCTGAAAATATATGTGGATTAAGAAAATTTCTTGATAAATTTTCGATTCTTATCTAATATTTAATAGCAGTAAAAAATTACAATGACAAATTTCGAAGATTAATTAATTGCATCACATGTGCAAATGACATTTTGTTTCGTTTAAGCTTATATCGCATCCAATTTCAGTAACGTAGGTCACGTTGAGCAATGGAATGGATTGTGCGAACATAAGTAGATCGATATAAAAGCCAAGCCAAACTCGTCGAATTTATTCAGTTTCCAACCTGAAGAGAAACAACATGTACGCCAAGGTGTGTTTTGGACCGACTTATTAAATATTTTTGGATTGGATAAAAATGCAGAAAAGTGATGTGTAAATAAGTGCGAAAGTGTGAATTTATTAAACATCTATTCACGAATGCCATTAGAGAATGTTAGTGAAATTGATATTAAAGTGTCATTATTTCTAGCTCATCATCGTTCTGTGTGCCGTGAGTGCAGCTTGCGCTGGCGGTCTCTTGGAGACTCCCGTGGAGTACAGCAGCCATGCCTTCGCCGCCCCCGCCGTGGCCACGTACGCCGCGCCTGCTGTAGTAGCCAAAACCATCGCACCCGCCATCTCTTATTCATCCTTTTCCACCCACACCTCCCCTATCGCCTACTCCGCCGCTCCAGTAGCCACCTACGCCGCTGCCCCAGTGGCAACTTACGCCGCCGCCCCTGTGGTCGCTAAAACCTATGCCGCCCCCGCTGTGACTACTTACGCTGCCTCTCCCGTGGTCGCCAAAACCTATGCCACCCCTGCCGTGGCTACTTACGCCTCTGCTCCCGCCGTCGTGACCAAAACTATCGCGCCAGCAGTGTCTTCCGTCTCCTCTTATTCTTCCACCACCTCTCATGGTTCCCCCATCACCTATGCTGCTGCACCAGTGGTAGCTAAGACTTACGCCGCCCCGGCTGTGGCCACTTACGCAGCTCCCGCTGTTGCGTCGTACTCCGCTCCTCTGGTTACCAAATCTTACGCCGCCCCCGCAGTAGCGACTTACGCCGCAGCCGCCCCCGCTTACACTTCATACGCCGCGGCCGCTCCCGTCCTAAAAACAGGTCTCGCGTACTCCGCAGCGCCCTCTGTCGCTCATGTCTCCTACAGTGGTCTTGGCGCCAACTATGGTTGGTAAACTGGATCTAGTCTAAACATGTGATATTAATAAGATTAAACACTATTTATGTATACAAATAAAACAGAATTTTATTTTAATTTTACCCTTTTATGAAAAACCTTGTAATAATGTTTCCCAACATTCCTTGAAATTGAAATTAATACAAATAGCACACTAGTTTCGAAGTGTCGCCATCTTTATGGTCCCTGATTCGATTCCCGATCGGGTCAATATCAAAGTTAAACTTTTAATTTTATGCTTATTACAAATAATAACATTTTTTTATGCAATGAGCCTTTGAACTACATAATTGAACAAAGTCGTAGTCTAGAGCGAGGGTTCATTGAAAGACTGAAGTTTCGTTACACCATTTATTTTATGGTAACAGTCCAAAGCCTTATGTTAAAAATCACAAATGTATATATAAATCCTCAATAATACAATTCAAAATGGCAGTACGACATCTATTATGCAAAATTGGATTTAATTTTATATAAACATAAGTATGTAACTCTATTTATTGTTTATTATTATGGAATATATTTTTATCTATTTATATTTTATTTATGTAGGACATGAACATAATCATTTATTATTTTAATTGACTTCATTAAATAGACACATAATGTATCTATTTGATATCCAATACAAGAAGTTTCATACACAGAAATACACTATGATCCAATATCTACTTTACAAAAAAAACTACTACACCCAGTAGCCGTTGAACATATTAAATCCTCCTCTTCGATTTTGAAATCATAGGAATGCAAATAACTTTTGTTTCTTCAATGATAAACTATCGGTCAGTTGCACAAAAATCCATTAAGGTTTAATGACGCTTATGAACTCTAATGAATATCGAATTTGTATGGGTAATGTCGCTTTAAACTAATAGAAATTTTAATGGACGTTTGTGTAACTGGCTGTATGTCATATATCTAATATAAGGGTATTTGACGAAAATCTGTCACCATGCTGTATCTCATGAATCGTAATAGTTAGACAGTTGAATTTTCATTATAACAAACAAATAAATAAATTAATATTTGAGGGGGCTACCATACAACAATCGTAATTTTGTTGCTCGTTTCCGTTACAGAACCCTTCGTGCTGCAAGTTCGACTGATACTTAACTGATTTTTTTTTATTGAATTGCTCAGGTATTGCTTTGTTTCTAATTAAATGCATTTAAACCTATATAATAATTAACATTATTTCCGTAACTACTCGTTACGCTACTAGGGGATACCAGCCAGCGGACTACATGTGCCGCATGATCTGACCCCGTGTAACAGGAAACGGTTAGGTTAAAGAAGAAAATGCAGGTGGACTGGACCAAAGCTAGATTTAGTCCAGTTTATACAATAGAAATACTACCGTTTACGGGATATTTACTGAATTCATTAATTAATCGGAAGGTTGCGTGTTCAGATAACATCGGAGTAGCCAAATATATTGGAATCAGGCTGACTCATGCGATGATATTTGATAAGCTGTCAATCCATATAGAAACACATTTTAATAGAATTCACGAAAAATATGAGAAAAACGTAAGAATGATTAAAGAAAATATTCAAATAAACATATAAGTACTTAGTCGAGTTTCTATCTACCATCAAAGAGTAAATCAGTAGATTTATAGTGCTATCACACATGTATATAGAAATTAAAATTCAAATGCAAACTGCAAAAATTAAGATTTTAATACATTCCATTTGAAATTCAACCTTCACCGACGTCAAATGTCACAAAGAAAATAAGAATTTCGCTGAATAAATTGTACTTGTTTTTCTAAATTTTTCTCATTGAACATTTTCAAATTCTACTTTTAAGGACCTCAATAAAAAGTGTCGAAAATTAAATATTTGAAATAATGATTTCAATTTAATGTTCGATAAATATGTTGAAATAAATATTTAAATTTAATGTTCGATAAATATGTTGAAATAAATATTTAAATTTAATGTTCGATAAGAATATTGAGAATTTCCTCCGATCAGTTTTAAAGAGACAAATACGAGAGATGGTTTTTAAAGAAACGCAATATCTCTTCTTCTTCTAAGTCGTTTCACTCTTGACAGAGTGTTCGTGGTCGTCAATCAGGAACAGTTTGAGAAGCAAGTTCTATTATACGCCGTCATTCTTATCTGATCACATATCCTGGTATACTCACGCATAGAGCAGTTTGTTGCCGCCTTTATTTGATCTGTCCATCTCATCGGGGATCTACTGCGTGTTCTGGTACCCTTTACTTTTCCCTGTATTACCAGGCGCTCCACGGAGCCATTGTTGCGTCTTGATACATGGCCAAAAAAATCAGAATGCGTGCCTGCACTATAGAAGACAGGCGCCGCCGAATACCGAGTTGGTTTATTATAGATGCATTGGTATGGAACTCCGCCCATGACACCCAAGCAAAAATCCTTACAGGAAATTAAAAAGTTGGATAAAAAAATTAAAAATAAAAGCTTACCTAGATTAATCGTTTATTCATTCGTTACATTTTTCAAACTTACACAGCATTTTGCTAAAAGTATTTGCGGATTAATAAAATTTCTTAATAAATAAGTATTGAATTACAATGACTAGTTTCGAAGTTTAATTAATTATACTACATATGCAAGTGACATTATTTTTAGTTTAAGCTTATATCGCATCCAATTTTAGTAACGTAGGTCACGTTGAGCAATGGAATGGATTGTGCGAACATAACTAGATCGATATAAAAGCCAACCCAAACTCGTCGAACGTATTCAGTTTCCAACCTGAAGAGAAACAACATGTACGCCAAGGTGTGTTTTGAACCGAATTGTTTTTGAAGTAAAATATTTTTGGATTCAATAAAAATCTAGAGAAGTGATGTGTAAATAAGTGCGAAAGTGTAAATTTATTAAATATCTAATCACGAATGCCATTAGAGAATGTTAGTGAAATTGATATTAAAGTGTCATTATTTCTAGCTCATCATCGCTCTGTGTGCCGTGAGCGCAGCCCGCGCTGGCGGTCTCTTGGAGGCTCCCGTGGCATACAGTAGCCATGCCATCGCCGCCCCCGCCGTAGCCACGTACGCAGCGCCCGCTGTGGTAGCCAAAACCAGCGCGCCCGCCGTCTCGTATTCATCCTTCTCCACCCACACAGCACACAGCTCCCCAATCGCCTACTCCGCCGCTCCAGTAGCCACTTACGCCGCTGCCCCAGTGGCAACTTACGCCGCCGCCCCCGCTGTGACTACGTACGCTGCCGCTCCCGTGGTCGCCAAAACCTATGCCGCCCCTGCTGTGGCCACTTACGCCTCTGCTCCCGCCGTGGTGACCAAAACCATCGCGCCAGCAGTGTCCTCTGTATCCTCTTATTCTTCCACCACCTCTCATGGTTCCCCCATCACCTATGCTGCTGCACCAGTGGTAGCTAAGACTTACGCCGCCCCGGCTGTGGCCACTTACGCAGCTCCCGCTGTTGCGTCGTACTCCGCTCCTCTGGTTACCAAATCTTACGCCGCCCCCGCAGTAGCGACTTACGCCGCAGCCGCCCCCGCTTACACTTCATACGCCGCGGAAGCTCCCGTCTTAAAAACAGGTCTCGCGTACTCCGCAGCTCCCTCTGTCGCTCATGTCTCCTACAGTGGTCTTGGCGCCAACTATGGTTGGTAACTGAATCTAGTCTAAACATGTGATATTAAAAAAATTAAACAATATTTATGTATACAAATATAACAGAATTTTATTTTAATTTTACCCCTTTATAAAAAGCCTTGTAATAATGTTTCCCAACATTCCGTACAATTGAAATTATTACAAATAGCACACTAGTTTCGAAGTGTCGCTATCTTTATGGTCCCTGGTTCGATTCCCGGTCAGGTCAATATCAAAGTTAAACTTTTAATTTTATGCTTATTACAAATATTAACATTTTTCTATGCAATAAACCTTTGAACTACATAATCATTTATCATTTTAACTGACTTCATAAAATAGAAGCTTAATGTATCTATTGGATATCCAATACAAGAAGTTAAATACACAGAAATACACTATGATCCAATGTCTACTTTCCAAAAAAACTACTACACCCAGTAGTCGTTGAACATATTAAATCCTACCTTTCGATTTTGAAATCATAGGAATATTTGCATTCCTTAGGAATAATATAATAATAATAATATAATCATAGGAATATTTTACTTTTGTTTCTTCGATGATAAACTTTCGGTCAGTTGCACAAACGTTCATTATGGTTTATTGATGCTTCTAATCTATAATTAATGTCAAATTTGTATTGGTAATGTCGCTTTAAACTAATGTGAATTTTAATGGACGTTTGTGAACTGGCTGTATGTCATCTATAAGGGTATTAGAAGAAAATCTTTCAGTTATTTTGTTATAAAAATAAAACTACATAATCGATAAAATTGATATGGGACCAACTCGGGCCCATAAGTTGATTATAAATAAAAAATACGGTCAACATTTCGCGGAAAAATGCGAAAATACTAAAAAAAATACTTCGCCATTAAACATAGAACCCCTTTCTTTTTGATTTCAAGTCGGTTAAAAATGGCCTTTATACACTGACAAGAATTTTACTGATTCTTAAATATTTACTGATAATATTGTTAATTTCAGCTACATTTTAGTCGACATCAGAGTCTTGGTCAAACTATTTTCTGATATCAGCCTGCTCCAAGGTTTTTCCACCTATTTCCGTAATTAGTCATTCTACTTAGTGATATATGTGCTGTCAAGTTTATTACTTTTTATGACAAATTTTACTAAAATATAATAAAACTTCAATTTACATGAAGTGAAGCATTTTTGGGGTTCCGTGCCCAAAACGTTAAACGGGACCAGTCCGTCCGTCTGTTACCAGGCTGTATCTCATGAATCGTGATAGTTAGACAGTTGAAATTTTCAACTATAACAAACAAATTAATAAAATTAATATTTGAAGGTGCTACCATACAACAATCGTAATTTTTTTGCTCATTTCCACTACAAAACCCTTCGTGCGCGAGTTCGACTGATACTTAGTCGATTTTTTGTTATTTGCTAATTTATTGCTCTGTTTATAATTAATAAAATGCATTAAAACCTATATAATAATAATCATCATTATTTCCGTAACTACTCGCACATTCAATAAGTAGGTACACTATAATAAACCTAATCAAACAAAACAACGTGGCATCGCCGTCTCCGAAATCTCTGTTTGAAATAATATCATTATCAATCAATATAAAATGAAAATTCTGGATATTGTCTCGAATCGAGACGGTTCTGAATAGTCCATTGTTTTTATTTTTATTTGGGCAAGTTCTTTAGCTAATTTACTCGTCCTGGGAAATACTGTAAGACACTTCTATACCTGTTTAAAATTTTATTTTTAGTTCGCAGTAATAGCAATTCTATTGTACTACTATATAACCAAACATTTCTTATTTTAATTTGGGTGTGTTTTAAAGTTATCCCTTAGCCATTAATTCTCTAAATTACTAGTATTGTTATATGTAACATCTATATTAAGTGGGAACTTCAATTATCTATTCATAATATCACCGTCTTAAGCACAACAGGCGCCCAGATGCAAGCAGAGCTCTGAAGATTTCAAAATCTACTTTTAAGGATCTCAATAAAAAGTGTCGAAAATGAAATATTTTAAATAATGATATCAATTTAAATTCGATAAAAATGTTGAAATAAATATTTAAATTTAATGTTCGATAAGAACATTGAGAATTTCTTCCGATCAGTTTTAAAGTGACAAACACGAAAGATGTTTTTTTTTAGAAACAATATAGGTTATATATTTATACTATATCTAGGATCTTATTCAAAAATTATTATTAAAGCATTTTGAAAGCAAAATTTATGGAATGTAATAATACTTACAGGAAATAAAAACGTAATGTTTTAAGTAGGATAAAAAAAATAAAAAAATAAAAGCTTACCTAAATTAATACTTTTATTCATTCGTTACTTTTTTTCAAACTTACACTGCATTTTGCTAAAAGTATTTGCGGATTAATCAAATTTCTTAATAAATAAGTATTGAATTACAATGACTAGTTTCGAAGTTTAATTAATTATACTACATATGCAAGTGACATTATGTTTCGTTTAAGTTTATATCGCATCCAATTTTAGTAACGTAGGTCACGTTGAGCAATGGAATGGATTGTGCGAACATAACTAGATCGATATAAAAGCCAACCCAAACTCGTCGAACTTATTCAGTTTCCAACCTGAAGAGAAACAACATGTACACCAAGGTGTGTTTTGGACCGACTTGTTTTAGAAGTAAAATATTTTTGGATTGAATAAATATGCAGAGAAGTGATGTGTAAATAAGTGCGACAGTGTGAATTTATAAAACGTCTATTCACGAATGCCATTAGAGAATGTTAGTGAAATTGATATTAAAGTGTCATTATTTCTAGCTCATCATCGCTCTGTGTGCCGTCAGTGCAGCCCGCGCTGGCGGTCTCTTGGAGGCTCCCGTGGCGTACAGCAGCCATGCCATCGCCGCCCCCGCCGTGGCCGCGTACGCCGCGCCCGCTGTGGTAGCCAAATCCATCGCGCCCGCTGTCTCTTATTCATCCTTTTCCACCCACACCTCCCCTCTCGCCTACTCCGCCGCTCCAGTAGCCACCTACGCCGCTGCCCCAGTGGCAACTTACGCCGCCGCCCCGGTGGTCGCTAAAACCTATGCCGCCCCCGCTGTGACTACGTACGCTGCCGCTCCCGTGGTCGCCAAAACCTATGCCGCCCCTGCTGTGGCCACTTACGCCTCTGCTCCCGCGGTCGTGACCAAAACCATCGCGCCAGCAGTGTCTTCTGTCTCCTCTTATTCTTCCACCACCTCTCATGGTTCCCCCATCACCTATGCTGCTGCACCAGTGGTAGCTAAGACTTACGCCGCCCCGGCTGTGGCCGCTTACGCAGCTCCCGCTGTTGCGTCATACTCCGCTCCTCTGGTTGCCAAATCTTACGCCGCCCCCGCAGTAGCTACTTATGCCGCAGCCGCCCCCGCCTACACTACATACGCCGCGGCCGCTCCCGTCCTAAAAACAGGTCTCGCGTACTCCGCAGCGCCCTCTGTCGCTCATGTCTCCTACAGTGGACTTGGCGCCAACTATGGTTGGTAAACTGAATCTAATTTAAACATGTGATAATTGTTAAACGATATTTATAAAAATAAAAAATCAATAAAAATTATTTCTGTTCTTTACTGTTCATTGCAAACCTTTCAAAATCAATGAATCCTAATATAAATATTAATTATCAGACCAAATTTAATTACTAGTCGATATAATGTATTTCTACAATACAGATGACGACTATGAATGTAAAAGAATTTCTTATTTTTTTACACAGTCATTATCTCTTTTCACAATACAAGATATTCGACATACTAAACTCCTTAATAAAAGTTCCAAGAAGCAAAAGTACACAAAATTAAATTTACAGTTTAAATTTATAAATGTGAAATTATAAAATATTTAACATTTAATGATACAAATGCATCACAGTTGAATATAATCACTATTATACTTTTTTATACTTTATAGCGGCCATCCATTTATTACGTTAGATGATTTATTGGGCGATCGATCTCATCATATATTTATATTCAGGGAGTCTTGACAGTTCTTGCGTTTAAAACTGTTCTTGCCGAGCAATTGAAGCGGCGTGCCCATAGAGCGTAACGTGGCAGTGGAGAGTGAATGCCATATAGGAACGACTACATAAATCGATATTATAACATAATAAATATAAATTACGTACCAAAACACAATTCTATACTAGCTTTTGCCCGCAACTTCGTTTGCGTGATATTAGTATACATTTACAATGGTTTATTTTTAAGCAACTTCAAAACATAAGAATGGGTTTTCAACAATACTGATATTGTAGCACTTTTTTATTTGAAAGAGATCCAAATAAATTGATCGAAATAATCTCATTTAAACATTGGCGAATTTAGTCAGTAGTCGTGATTTAATGTAAAAAAAAAAAAACAGAGAACTATATCGCCTATATTAACTTAATGTGGTTGTTGTGACATAGGAACTCTAAAATAAAAGTGTTTATTTTTATAAATAAACAGACATTGGTAAAAAGCCGGGCATTTTCGAAACAGTTAAATAATTCTTGTAATGACAAAATCTAACTTCGTTTGAAATCAGACGTGTGACAAAAACTTAGCCATCAAAGCTTCTTCTGAACAAAAACGGAGAATATTAAATTTATAAGAACAAAAATTATTATTCGATTCTTTTGAAGTCGTTTTTCCTCCAAGTATGCATTCTTTTTAAATAGATGTAATAACTAATTATTGGTTTTAATGAAAAGTAGAAGCATGAATAAGGATGTACGTAAATTAATGTCCCCATACAAACTTCTACCCACCTTTTCATTCCTTTCATCGGAATTATTATCGTATGAAACCTATTCTGTATTCTGTTTAGTGTTTTTTTTATAGCAAATTATATCCAGAGTTATTTTCGCATTGATATTCTTAAAGAAAGGAGAGAGCATTTCTTTGATAAAACAGGTAAAGTTACAAAAAAAATATCACAACTCATGGTAAACCAACCTCATAAGTTTCATTCCAAAGTGAAGGTTTATTCCAGTGATTTATTATATTCGAGAGGGTAGTTTTTCTGGTCGCCAGCATAAAATTATATTTTAAATCCTGTACCGTTATTCTTGTAAGTACAATTTCTCACAGGAAACATTTTTTTAATAAAAATACGAAAAATGAGAGGCTTAATCTTTCTTAAGGAGGAAGACTATTAAAAAATATGTGAATAGTAGTATACTGCATCCTAGATATTAGTTTTTCGATGGAATTGTAATTGTATGATTTATCGAAGATGTTTTTGTAATGAGATTCGGGTTAGAGTTCCGTGCCCAAAGGGTATAAAACAGAACCCAATCACTAACTCAACTGTCCGTCCCTCCGTCTGTTCGTCCGCTCTCTGTCAGTCTGTCACCAAGCAGAAATCATAAATAGACAGTTGAAATTTCACAGATGATGTATTTCTGTTTCCGCTTTAATAAGAAATACTAAAAAACAGAAATAAATAAATATTTTCCCATACAACAAACATGATTTTATGCTCGTTTCCGGTATGGAATGCGCAAGTGCGACTCGCAAATGGATGATTTTTTGGCAATGACGTTTTTAGGGAATAACCTATGCACACAGGACCTGTGAGAATGCACTGCTGTAAGTAATCTTCCTAGTTTCTAAGATAACGTTGATTAACATTTTGCTTAGCAAGATTATCTTAATTTTCATTGCGTTTCTAAATGATTCTCGATCACTATAATATATCACTCTAATACTTTTACTTGTCATTAGATTATTTTTTGCGCAACGCAAATAAGGGTAATGTATTTATGAGTCTATATATGTATGTTTGTTCTATGACATTGTAGAGATCAAACGGCTTGGCCAATTTTGATGTATTATACATCAATCGATTTGTCTTAACCTTGCGAGTGTCACCAAACACATAACAGTCATTAAAATTCTTTTTTTAAAGGTACCTCCCCTGTATCTAAAGTGAGGATGATTTTTTATTTTTTCGATTTTCCTATAGTGTGGGATATTGTTGGATAGGGCTTCAAAAATATTAAAAATGTGTGAAGGGCGTTTTTAGATATAGTGAACTATCCGCAAATTTTTAATCTTTTAAGTGCCAAGAACTTCATTGGACCGAGCTGTGGTTGACTTAAGTTCAGATATATTTATTTGTTTGTAATCTAGTAAAAGGAATTGTGTATAAAGCTATGCTAACAATAGCAGACTTTCCCTATACATGAACTTTATTACAGATTCATTTTGTTTAATGGTATTTATATAAAGATAGGTAATTCGGAATTGTGATAAAATAGACATCTACTATTTTTCTTAGCGACAAAAAAACATTGACGAGTCAATATAAACACATAAGTATATTGTTTCGATAAATATTTAATTGTTTCATATTTTTATCACATATGTATTGATCACATATAAAATGCTTTCGTTATCTATTTACAAAAAAGGACTAGATTCAGTTTACCAGCCATAGTTGGCACCGAGTCCGTTGTAAGCTACGTGAGCGACAGCGGGCGCGGCAGAGTACGCCACAGCTGATTTCAAGACGGGCGCGGCTGCTGCGTAAGTCGCTACTGCGGGGGCAGCGTAAGACTTGGCAATCAAAGGAGCGGAGTATGACGCTACAGCGGGAGCGGCGTAAGCAGCCACGGCGGGTGCGGCGTAGGACTTAGCGATCACTGGGGCAGCGGCGTAAGTAGCCACGGCGGGGGCAGCGGCGTAAGTGGCTACGGCGGGGGCAGCGATGGTTTTGGCAACAACTGGAGCAGCTGCGTAGGTAGCGATGGGGGATCCGTGAGATGTGGTGGTGGAGTATGAGGAGTACGAAGAGACAGCGGGAGCGATGGTCTTAGTCACCACTGCGGGGGCAGCGGCATAAGTAGCCACAGCGGGGGCGGCGTAGGTCTTAGCGACAACAGGTGCGGCGGCGTAGCTTGCAACGGGGGCGGCAGCGTAAGTGGCTACTGGAGCGGCAGCATAGGCGGCGACGGGAGAACCATGAGCGGTCTGAGTGGAGTAGGAGGAGTAAGAAGAGACGGCAGGCGCGATGGTCTTGGTGACCACAGCGGGGGCCGCATATGCGGCTACCGCGGGGGCGGCGATGGCGTGGCTGCTGTACGCCACGGGGGCGGCGATGGCGTGGCTGCTGTACGCTACGGGGGCTGCTCCCAGGAGACCGCCGGCGCGAGCCGCGCTCACGGCGCATAGAGCGATGATCAGCTGAAGAAAATATCAGTCAGTAAAGCGTCGTCGTTTAATTAATTATTTTATCGTATTCTATTTAAAATCCATTCCTTATCCAACATTAACTTGCAAAAGTGCTTATGTTTTTGTCATTATTACGAACCAATTAATTAAGGCACTTTAAAGTTCATACCAGCTGAGATTTTTAATTAAATAACATCTGGAAGTATTATGAAAATCCATTCGTTATCCTACATTAACTTGCAAAAGTACTTGTGTTTTTGTCATTATTACGAACCAATTAATTAAGGCACTTTAAAGTTCATACCAGCTGAGATTTTTAATTAAATAACATCTGTAAGTATTATGAAATACTTAAATACTATAAGTTTCTATGATTACCCATAATAAAAAAGGAACGAATATCAAGGAAGCGGAAAATAAAGACCATGTCTTGTAGCGGTCGATTGTTTCCGGCTACTGAGCAAGAATGTAATATAGATGATTTGTTATTAATAAATATTTGATCATATTAACCAGCCATATGCATTTTAAAATATATTTTTTTTAACTCATACAAAATGCGATTACTTAAGTTTTCTGCACTGCCATTAATATAAATTCAAAAACCCACCTTGGCGTACATGTTGTATCTTCTAAGGTTGGCAACTGAATAATTTCGTCAAGTACTGCACCGGTATTTATATTGAAAAGGTGCGTCAGAATAAATCCATTTCACTTTCATTGACTACTTAATTCAATGATCAATGGAACTATATTCGGTTTAACGATGTTCGGATTAATTTATAATTATACTGTTTTGATGAATTTTCCATTTATAATACGTACTAATGTCCGTCTACTACGATTTCATGGTACATATTTTAAAATTTGGTACAGAGATAGAGTTGCTCTTGAAAAACCTTTTATCGCGAAAAAAGAGGTTGAAGTAAATTTCAATAAAAATTACGTTATCACGCAGACGAAGCCGCGGGCATAGGTGAGAAATAAATATTATAATGCAATAATTTAATAGAATGACTAAAAAATGAGATGTCAGAAGGAATTCGGTGAATAATGTGTTTATCGAAAAATACTACGAGAGATTTTGAATTTTTCAAAATCGACCACACCACCATCTTCTTCATTCTTTGAAGAATTTCAGACATATATCAATAAGTAGTATGTATCTGTCTTTTATCATACAAAATGCCTCAAATTACTTGAAAAGATTATCAAATTGATTTTAAGCCTGAATCTGTTGACCTTCTATCTATCTTTCTTATATCATACAACATACAGTCGACAGCACCTCAGATTACTTTAAAAGGTTTAATTTCTCAAATTGATTTTAAGCCTTAATCTGTTGGCCTTCTGTAGGAACCTGTGACTTTACCGCGTTACTGAAGCTATGGATAAGTGTATCTTCTTAAAGGCATATTTGATCTGTCAACTTTTTTTAAAAAAAGAATAGGGTCTTGTTGTGGAAGCCAAGAATTTTTTATGTCTATTATTTCAGATAGTGGAGGACTAAAATTAATCAATGGGGCAACCAATAGTCTCCATAAGGTCAAAGATTTAATGTTTCACACTGGTAGATGCAGGACGAAGCTAGTGTAATGTATAGGTAAGTAATTTGTCGCGATATCAAGGTGAACTTGGGGTTTTATCGAAATACCAATAAATCAACTTTAGTGTAATGGTAAAGCTTCATGTGTTGATATTTTATTTAAATTATCAACTTCCGTGATAATTTTTATGTGTTAAGAAAATGCTATCAATAGCAGCAGCCTCGATATTATGCGAAAGGAATTAATATTTATGTATCGTTTAATTTTTGATAAGTTATCATCGGATATAAATAAAACATATATTTGTAATAACACTGTTTATTATGTAGATTAAGGTTTTAACATATAAAGTCAAAACCCTATAATAGGAGTCAATAAATATATTTTTAATAATATTAGGATGACTTGTAAGTTTGTATTTACCGTCGCATGCTGTACAAAACCTGCAATGTTAAAACAGCGTCGAACTTGGACGCGGCGCTATTGCACCATTACTTAGAGGTTGAATTAAATAAAACCTACTACAAAAGGTAATGAAGCTTGTTTCTTGTTTCCTAGGTAGCTCAGTGACTGGAGCAGTCACCCGGATTGTATAAGGTGATGAGTTCGAGTCCCATTTCAAAATACCAGAGAAAAAATATTTTTTAAGCAATTCTATATAGCATTATGAATGCAAAATTGATCAAATATAATAACAAAATATAATTCAAAATTCTTAAAAAGCAATTTGAATAAATATTTAACTACCCTTGGTGAAGCTAATCTAATTTAATCTATATCTTTCGTAATAAACAAATTACTTTTGTAGGACAAATTAAGTGTTTAATTAACCTTTTAAGGGTCATATATTTCATTAAAACTACGAGTAAGTATTTAAAATAATATGGTATGAGTATTAATAAATAATTATATAGACATCCGCGTGTTTATACATTATAATGTTGAACTAATTAGTTATATAACATTAAATTAAATCACAATATATTTAAATTAATTTTTGCGAGCTAAATAAACTTACTAAGTAGGTGCATTACATTCTAATCTTATTTCTAATCAGTGTCCTAAAAATGAAGATTCGTATTTCTATCTTTAATAATGACGGATTACATTCAAACTGCTATTTCGTCCATTAGGGGTTAAAATTTTCACAAAATCGGAACCTTATTACTTATTTATTCATTTATGAGTAGGTAGTCCAAATGTTCTATGAATCTAATATGTAAATGTGTAGTGAAGTAGTAATGCTGTAGGTGTTTACTATTCTTAAATCAGTAGACAGAAATTATGTGTTTAACTTCAAAAATGATGGTCTTCCATACAAAATCTCGACCACCTTTTTAGGGGTTGAATTGACATAAATTCTTTATTGCCTAATGTGTGTCACCTCTACAAAATAGCCCTACCGATCAAAGAATTTGGGTCTAATATAAATAGTTTACGTAAGGCAATGAAAAATCAGTCAAAACAAATTCTTTTACAAGAATGTATATATTACGTTCAAAGATCGAAATCGCTCATTTAGCGAAAAAGTTATTTTGGCAATCGCTGAATAACCACATATCAAAATCCGTGTCTTAGCTGACATACTATTCCACCTTAACGTGTTGAGGTAAAAAGATAAGCCACGAAACGTTCTGAGCATTATTTGATATAACTAGCGTTTCATTTTACAATAGCGATTACAATAGCTACTGGCACTTTGCTGGGCGCTGCCGCGGTACGCTTTGCTCGCTCGGCTCGTGCATACTCTAACTAACCTAACCTAATCAAATATGGTTCAATACGCTTCATGGTTTTTCTTCATTGCCACAACGGGTTGTGGTCGATTTCGCTAGGTTATTCTGTGAACGCTAACAACGTGTCATTTTAATATTACAGAAAAAAACTTGAAAGTTCAATGAGGAAGTATTTAAAAAAACATGAAAGAAAACCCGGAAGGGTTGTCATGGGGAAATCAAAAACGTACTGTAGTGACATCTAGTTTGATTTTGAGAATTAATGTTTTTTTAAAAATACTTCTTCATTACTTAGCCTAAGAAACAGATAACAGTTATGTACCACTTTCTGTTGAAAAATGAATAAGCTAATCCTGACCGCGCGTGACCTTATAAAAAAACTAGCCAAGGACACTGAGAACAACTACTAAAAAATTAAAATATTATTTTAGGCACATTAGTGACACAAATTAGAGCTCTCTAAGATGATGCAAGAATATGGCCAGTTTCAGAAAGAAAAAGAGATACAAGAGTACCAAACTCTGTTCGGGCTATTACAGGCAAGTAATATTGTCATAATGTACAATCACAACACACAATGAGGAAGTTAGTTTCGCAATGGCCAATCATAAGATGGGTGACCAACAGTTTATTATATCAATGCTCCGGAAGGCATATTGCATCTGCAGTTGTTAACACCCGCCAATTCACACTGGGCCTCTCGTAATGAGTTATGTATGATCCACCCACCCTATGCGAGTCAATTTATAGGGAAGACTTGTGCTGGAGCACTAATAGGCTGGTGATGATGGTGGTGTGCAATCTCAATATAAAATTCGTGACCACTAAATAATAATAGTGATAACTTAAAAAATTACCCATTACTAGAGCTTCCAAATACCTGTGCAAATACAGAAATAGAGCTCAGCAATCACTGGAGCAGAATAGCATGCTATAAATTTTCATACACGACGGTTTTAAACCTTTTTTCTTTTATCAATTGTATTTTGTATATGAAATTATTGATATATGTGTCTAGGAAATTAAGTGTTCTAGTTAATATAAAGTTATTTTGAATATTGTATTATTTTAAATACTCGTACGACGGTACAGATAGGTACTATCAGATAATTCCTATTGTTCTCTTATGAAATATGGGTTCAAATAAAAGAAATAAGTTTATGGCAAGTCGTTTAGTCTTTATTATATTTGTCTATTTACAGAATTATCTATTTCGTAGTCGATTCAGTTTACCAGCCGTAGTTGGCGCCGTGTCCGTAGGCAATAGCAGGCGCGGCGGAGTACGCGACAGCTGACTTCAGAACGGGCGCGGCAGCAGCGTAAGTAGCCACAGCTGGGGCAGCGGCGTAGGTCTTGGCGATCACGGGGGCAGCAGCGTAAGCGGCTACTGGAGCTGCGGCGTAGGTGGCGACGGGAGAACCGTGAGCGGTCGTAGAGGAGTATGACGAGTAAGAGGAGACAGCGGGGGCAATGGTCTTGGTCACCACGGCGGGGGCAGCGGCATAAGTAGCAACGGCGGGTGCGGCGTAGGACTTAGCGATCACTGGGGCAGCGGCGTAAGTAGCTACGGCGGGGGCAGCGGCGTAGGTGGCCACGGCGGGGGCGGCGATGGTCTTGGCAACAACTGGAGCAGCTGCGTAAGTGGCGACGGGGGATCCGTGAGATGTTGTGGTAGAGTATGAAGAATAAGACGAGACAGCGGGGGCGATGGTCTTAGTCACCACAGCGGGGGCAGCGGCGTAAGTAGCCACAGCGGGGGCGGCGTAGGTCTTAGCGACCACGGGAGCAGCGGCGTAGCTGGCCACGGGAGCGGCGGCGTAGCTGGCCACAGGGGCGGCAGCGTAGGCGGCTACTGGGGCGGCAGCATAGGTGGCGACGGGAGAACCATGAGCAGTCTGAGTGGAGTAAGAGGAGTAAGAAGAGACGGCGGGCGCGATGGTCTTGGTGACCACAGCGGGGGCTGCATATGCGGCTACCGCGGGGGCGGCGATGGCGTGGCTGCTGTATGCCACGGGAGCTGCTCCCAGGAGACCGCCGGCGCGGGCTGCGCTCACGGCGCATAGAGCGATGATCAGCTGAAAACAATATAAGTCAATAACGCATCGTCCTTTATAAAGTAAAAAATGGTAGATATATTTATTTTAAATCATTTTCTATTTAAAATCCATTTGTATCTTTCTAAAATTACTTGCAAAATGATATTTTTTTATCATATTGATAAACAATTAAGTAACCCACCTTGGCGTACATGTTGTTTCGGCTAAGGTTGGTAACTGAATAATATTTGCAAGTATTGCTCCGGTTTTTATATCACATAGGTGCGCGTCTACATTGTCCATTTTACTTTCATTGCCAAGGTAAACGAGCG